AATTAAAAAACAATATCACCCCCCCCAAAAAAAATCCTTTATAAACATAGATATAATACCATTATAAATTGAATTCAGTAAATAAATGGAGTTTATCATAAGAATGCAAGATTAGCCTATTCACCATATTATCACAGGAGTACAGATTGGGTGTAATTTACCGTATTGCCAGAGCAAGAGAGAAAAAAATCGTATGGTCATTCCAGGAAGTCATTAGAATTCAGCATCCAAACATGATAACAATTCTCAAAAAATTAAAAAGAGAAGGGAACTTTCTCAGTCTGATAAAGGCATCTACTAAAAATTTTCAACTTAATGGGGAGATAATAAGTGCTTTCCTAATAAAACAAATGAGTGTATATAACAAAACAGAAATAGACTCACAGATGCAGAAAACAAACTGGTGGATTTAAGTGGAGAGAGGGAATTGGGGAGGGGCATGATAGGGGTATGAGATTAAGAGATACAAACTACTACATATAAAATAGATTAGCAACAAGAATATTTTGTATAGCACAGGGAAATATAACCATTATTTTGTAATAACCTAACATGGAGTATAATCTATAAAAATATGGAATCACTATGCTGTATACCTGAAACTAATATAATACTATAAATCAACTGTATTCAATATCAAAAAATGCTTCCTCCCTAAGATTAGAAACAATTCAAGGATGTTTTTACCGTTTCTATTCAGTATTGTCCTGGAAGTCTTGGCCAATGCAGTAAGGCAAGAAAAGACATAGAAATCGTAAAGACTGAAAAGAAAGCAAAATTGTTTTTGTTCAGTACAGTATGATATTACTTATATGTGGAATCTAAAAACTTAGTGGACTAGTGAATGTAACAAAAAGAGAAGCAGACTCACAGATACAAACTAGTGTTTACCAGTAGGGAGAGGAGAGAGGGGCAAACTATTGGATATAAAATAAGCTCAAGGATATATTGTACAACATGGGTAATATAGCCAATATTTTGTAATAACTATAAATGGAAAGCAATCTTTAAAATTAAAGATTTTAAAAGAAAATTAGTAGGTATATTATAATGAGGATAATGATCAAAATGCACCGTTATAGTATTTCCCCAAAGAGTGTTCCTGTTCTTGATGGCAACAAGGAAAATAAGTTTTGGAATAAGCCCTCTTTATGCATATCTTGTAATGAAGTAACCTTTTTAACTATTCATAATATTTATTTGAGTTTCAGTTTCTCCAGGGGTGTGTGTGTGTGTGTTTATAAAACAGGAGCTATTGACTACTTAAAAAAAAAAATTGTATTTGTTCACATACTATATGAATCTACATAACCCTAAGGAATCTACAAGTATCTGCTAGAGCTAGTAAGTGGATTTAGCAAAGTTAATACAAAAAATCAATTGTATTACCATATACTAGCAGGAAACATTTAGACAGTGAAATTTTTTTAGATTCCATTTATATTAGCAGTTAAATAGACATGAAATAGTTAAGAATAAATTTAATAAGACACTCAAGACCTTTACACTCAAAACTGTAGAACATTGCTGAGAGAAATTAAAGAACTAAATAAATTAAAAGATATACTACCAAAAAAAAAAAGATACACTACATTCATGATTGGAAAACTCAATATTGTTACAATGGCAGTTTCTCCCTAAAACGACTGTTTGTTGTTCTTGTAGTAATGTATATGGAAGTGCAAATTAATCTTGAAAAAGTAATTTTGTCACATCTTGAAAAAGAAGAAAGCTGTAGCCCTTAAATTAACTGATTTCAGGATAAATACACAGTAATTAAAACAGCATGGCATTTTAGTAAAGATACATCTATATAGATCAGTGCAACAGACTAGAGGGCCCAGAATAGATCCATACATGTAAAGTCAATTAATTTTCAACAAAAGGCTAAGGATACAGAAATAGATCAGTGGAATAAAATGGAGGGGCAGAAATACATACACCTATAACTAGTCCTTTAATTTTAGAATAAGACACTAAGGTAATTTAATAGGAAAAAGAGTCTTTTAACATGTGGTGCTGGAACAACTGAATAAACATGTGGATAAAAATAAACCTCAACCCTGTACCTCATACTAAACACAAAAATTAATTCTATATGGATCATAGAACTAAATTCAAAGCTAAAATATTTAAGCTTGTAAAAGAAGACATAAGAAAGTACTTCTGTGACAATGAGGTAGGCAAAGATTTCTTAATAAAGACACAAAAATTATAAGTATAAAAGGGTAATGAAACTGTACTTCACCAAAAATAAGACTACTACTCATTGAAAAACAAATAAGAAAATGAAAAGGCAAACTGAAGACTGGGAGGAAATGCTCACAATATGTATGTCTAAAAAAGGACTCCTACAAATACGTAGTAAAAGTGGAAAGAACATTTAAATTTATTTATTTTTAATTGGAGGATAATTGCTTTACAATATTGTGTTGATTTCTGCCATACATCAACATGAATCAGCCATAGGTGTACATATTTCCACTCCCTGTTGGATCTTTCTCCCACCTCCCACCCCATCCCAACCCTCTAGGTTGTCACCAGTTTGAGCTCCTTGAGTCATAGAGCAAATTTCCACTGGCTGTCTGTTTTACATCTCATAGTGTTTATCTTTCCATGCTGCTGCTGCTTGTTCAGTCGCTCAGTCACATCCGACTTTTTGCACCCGCGTGGACTACAGCACGCCAGGCTTCCCTGTCTTTCACCATTACCTGGAGTTTGCTCACATTGATGTCCATTGAGTAGGCGATGCCAGCCAACCATCTCATTCTCTGTCGTCCCCTTCTCCTCCTGCTTTCAACCTTTCCCAGCATCAGGGTCTTTTCCAGTGAGTTGGCTCTTTGCATCAGGTGACCGAATTTTTGGAGCTTCAGCTTCAGCATCAATCCTCCAATGAATATTCAGGATTGATTTTCTTTAGGATGGACTGGTTTGATCTCCTTGCTGTCCAAGGGACTCTCAAAGAGTCTTCTCCAGCACCACAGTTCAAAGGTATCAGTTCTTTGGTGCTAAGCCTTTTTTGTTGTCCAACTCTCTACTCTGTCCATTTGTCCCACCCTCTAAAATGGAAAAGAACTTTTTAAAAAATGAGAAAATACTTAGTGGACACTTCACAAAAGAAACTGTACGAATGACCAGAAAGCAGATGAAAACGGGCTTAGCATCATTTGTCATCAGGAAAATGCAAATTAATACCATAGTCAGACACCATTTCACATCCACTAAAATAGCTAAGAAGCCTGACAACAGAATGTTGGCAAGAATGTGGAACAACTAGAATTCCTTTACATTTCTGTTAGGAATGCAAAATGGCACAGCCACTTGGGAAGTCTGACATTTTCTTATAAAATTAAATATACTTCTACCTTATGACTCAGCAATTCTACTCCTCGTAATTATCCAAGAGAAATGAAAACATTTCCACAAAAACACCTGTATAAGAATGTTTATAGAAGTTCTATTCATAATACATGTTTGAAAACACGACTTCCCTGGTGGTCCAGTGGTTAAGAATCCACCTTGCAGTGCAGGGGACCCTGGTTGTTCAGTCCCTGGTCCAGGAAGAACCCATAGGCCATGGGGCAGCTAAGCCCATGCACCACACCTGAGCTGGCACTCTGGAGCCTGTGAGCCACAACTGCTGAGCCCGCACACCTAGAGCCCATGATCTGCAACAGGAGAAGCCACTGCAATGAGAAACCCAGACAGTGCAGCTGGAGAAAGCCCCTGCAGAGCAACAAAGACTCAGTGCGGCCAAAGATAAATAAGTATATTTTTTGGAATCAAGCAAAAAATCAAACAAAAAAAGTCTGTGGTAATAAGACTTAATGATGGGACCAGATTGTACAGGATCATTAAATGCCACACTAAGGAGTTTAGATTTATAGGCAATAAGGGATCACTGTAAGATTTTAGACAAGAGTGACATCAATTCCATGTTTTAAAGAATATTATAAAATATTAAATTATAGCATAGTCTATGGTAATAAGACTCAGAGCAGTGGTTGCCTAAGGGAGGTAGGGATTGTCTGGAGAGAAAGAGAAAGGATACGTCTAGAGTAATGGAAGTGTTCTTTGTCTTGATTAGACTATTAGTTACCTTGATGTATTCATTATATAAGCATATATATTTATCAAAACTCATTGAATTGTACATTTAAGAGAAATTTCACTGTAGGTAAATTTTACCTCCAAAAAAATAAAAAACCTTATATAATTAAAGAAATGATTATTTGTATAGTCAATACTATAAGTGAGTGTGTATGTGTGTATAATTTTTTTATATTATATAACACTTGAGTGCATGTTTTAATATTTTTTCAAACAAGCGTCTTGTGTATCTACTGTTGGTCAGCCATTGTGATAGTTGCTGGGGATGTAAAGGTAAGAGAAAGTAACTGGACTTAAAGAAGGCATAGCTTGAGTAATAAATATACATGAAAAAAATGCTAGTATAAACTGGATGCTGTTTATGAGGTGAGTGCAAAGGAGGGAGAAAGTGATTGTGATTTGGTGGGCTTAGAGAGATGTGACCAAAAAGTGAATAAACTTTTGCAAGGGAAGAAAGGCTTTTTAGGTCAAGAGAACCTCATGAACTAAGGCACAGAGGCATGAGTCTGGATGATGTGTTTGTAGAATTTTAATTGGTCCAATGTGACTACAGTAAGGAGAGATGATATTATGATGGGGACAGTATACTTAATGATGGGACCAGATTGTACAGGATCATTAAATGCCATACTAAGGAGTTTAGATTTATAGGCAATAAGGGATCACTGTAAGATTTTAGACAAGAGTGACATCAATTCCATGTTTTAAAGAATATATCTGGTGTAAAGAATTGTTAAAATTGGGGAGAGATTAGAGGCAGAATAAACAGAAAGGGATTGTAAGGATCCAATGGTGGTTTATTTTCTTAGTATTTATTCACTAGAATTTGTGATTAAGCATTTCTAAACATTTGGCTGTTCTTTACTCTTTTTCTTTAAAATTAACAATAGAAATCCAGAAACTTTTTGGACCACCACAGGAATGTTTCCCCAAGAGTTCATTATATGTTTTCACAAACATGTGAGGATTGAAAAGCTTGTAATCCAGAGTTACTTTGGTAAGCATGATATTTTCATTTCATTTATTTTCATCTTTCAGTTTTTCCATAGGCAGAATGCACATATGTAAACTTTTGGCAAAACACTGATTATTTTTACAGCATGGAATCCAGTTTTATTGCTGGGGTTGATGGGTGGAGAGTATGGGTTAACTGTCTTGAGCATAGTTAGCTTCTCTGAAACTGCAAATTTGAAACCCTTCCAACGCACATAATAATTTCCATGCAATTTACTACGTGAAAGCCTTTGGCAAAAGACGCTGTGATGAACTTAAGAAGCCAGCTTGCCAGAACGCTAGGTTTCTTCACATCTTTATTCCAGATTCTTTTGGCTAGAGGTTCTCTGTCAAATTCTTTCTGAAAATCTGACAACCCTGATTATTTGCATTTGGTAACTTTGATTCTTTTATTAATGTGGCCATTTTCTGAGGGATTTAAGAAGAGTATCTTCCACTAGAACATCATCCTAATCCTGTCTTATGTTTGTTTAAGGACAAACAAAATCAGACAAAATAATGGTAGGAAATTGGATACGTCCCAGGTGGCTCAAATGAAGAAACATTATTGATGAGACCACTTACAGAATTATAGCCTGGGTTAAGGGAACAAGCTAGGGATGGTGAGACACCCAGAAACTGGCTATAGCAGTAAGCCATTACCTCCTTGGGCCTAAGGAAGGAAATAGTGTTTGCTGGAGCCCAAGGAGAACTGGAGCCTGTACAAAAAGGCCTGCCTAATAGGAGCTGTAACCAGGGAGGAGCATAACCACTGCCAAAGACAGGACACTGAAGAGGAAGGGAATAGAGAAAACAACCTGATCTCAGTTCCCTCCTGCCCTTCAGTTTCCTCCCAGTCCCTCCAGTTGGCCAAATCCAACCAGTAGGCAGTGGGAAAGTGAGTCCAGGAGGTTCAGTTCCCAGGGATCCACCCTCAGGGTGCAGAACAGGGAAGAATGGATTTGGAGTGAAGGGAACTGTTTTAGGGGTAAAGGAGAAAAAAAACCAATGCAGAAGGAAGATGACTGCATTCTCTCTTCTCTCGTTAATTGTGAAGGCTCTGGACCTAAACTTGAATTCTAGTTCTGGTACTTACTAGCTCTGTGTCATTGAACATTTTGCTTGACTTTTCGAAGTTGTCTGATTTCTTTAAGCCTTTTTTCTCATAGGTAAAGCAGGTTGATAATACCTTTCTCCTAAGGTTGAAGTCAAGAGTGAATGAATATATCTGACTTCTAGTAGTTTCTGCATAAAGTTTTATGATCAAGACCACTAATAGTGTTATTTACTAGTGTACCAAAAAAACAAACAAACAAACAAAAACAAACCAGATGGTACCAAACTCAAAAAGGCTCTGTTAGCTTTGTGTTGTATGCTTGCAAACACTTGTAAGGTCACAGTTATCCCAACTACTTTACCATAGGGATTTATGGAAAAACGGTGAGTGATTTTCCTGATCCCAGTATTTTGTGCATTCCCACTAATGCTTGCCAGTCTTAGGCAGAGGGAAAAAGAAATCAAGGGACAGCAACATAGAATTAAGTAGATAATTAACACTTTATTTTCATTTATTTACAATATCAGTGCGGACCTTGAGGATTGAAAAGAGTACTTCTAAAGAGCCAGTTGATTTTGAGCAATGGATTGAAAGAGGTATGTGCTTGTTTCGCCAGCATTATTTTGATCATGAGGGGGTAGAGAATTGTGCTTTACATTTCCAATTGCGGTTTATTTTGGTGAGAAAAGATGGCCTGAATGATTTTTATGACATATTTAGATAAACCTAGAAAAACCCAAATTTTAATATTAAGTTGCTTCTTCACTTCCTGGTTATGTAATTGTTAACATGTTACTTAATTTTTCTGAGTTTCAGAATCCTTATCTGAAAAAAAGAGAAGATATCACCGTTTAAAGTTTTTGTGAACACAGTGTCTGGCATATGGTAGAGAAGCAATAAATATTAGTTTTTAATCTTTCCTTCCTTCCTGATAATGGTATTATTTAAATATTATTGGCAGAATTGAAAAATAAATGAATATTGGCAGAATTGGTAGCCTCTCATAAAGAACAGCATGTTGCCTTCATGTGTCTGTCTGTTCCTTCCCAGAGAACCGTGAAAATAGTAATAAAGGGGTAAAATGAGTCATAAACCTACAAGGGCAAAAAATAAAAACAAACAGAGAGCCAGGAATTCAAAACAGGTGTGAGAGGTCAGTATATATTTTGGAAGAAAGGAAGCAGTTGGAGGAGTAGCAGAACTGAGTAGATTATAACCGAAGTACCTGAAAAGGAAGTTTATCCAGTAGAATCCCAGAAACTTGAAGGCGAAGGTACCATGGAAAGTTTGAATGAGGCATGGACAAGAAAAGTGACTGGTGGAACATCTATTTACCAAGTGTAAAAGACTTTAGGTACCTTCCTCCCACAAACTACCCCCAAGAGGTGACTAGGAACTTTGAATGCTGAGGCTCAGAACTCAGGGAGACCAGTCATAGTAGAGAGAATGAGTGAGACATGGAGTGGAAAACAGGGGATTGAAGTGGAAACCTATATAATGAATAGTGGGAACTCTAGCGTCCATCCTATGGTCTGCCCAGTGACCAGAAATATAGCCCCAGCCAGGAGATTGGAGGATTCATCTTTGGAGAAACTGTATGGTCCCAAAAGATCTGTGGATACAGAGAAAGGCTAGTTCATTCCTGGTCACCCTAGGGAAATCTGGTAGTCAATGAGTCTGGCTCATGTACTATTTTCCAGTGATCTATTCATAAATAACAAAAGATAGCCCCAAATCACCAGACATATGGTAAAGACCTAAATATAATCAGGCCTTTAGCTCTAACTCCATCTGTAGGAAAAGAAGGTAGAAAACAAATTAAATCCCAAGGAGGCAATATGAGAAAATGTGGGACTTTTATGATACAACTGACTTGGTCTCTTCAATAAGTCAGTGGTGTGGGGGGGAAAATGTCTGTGTGGGAGACAAAGAAGTTCAAGATTAAAAGAGGCTTAATTCTGATTTGAATAAACCAACCATAAAAAGATTTAGGGGGACAATGGGGACCTTTGATGGGGTAGGAAATAGCAACCCACTCCAGTATTCTTGCTTGGAAAATTCCACAGACAGAGGAGCCTGGCAGGCTACAGTCCATGAGGTCTCAAAGTATTGGAAACAACTGAGTGACTGAGCAGGCACGTATGGGGACCTTTGAATATATACTAGGTATATGATATTAAAGCATTTTTAAATTGTCGTATGATAGTGGCATTGTAGTTACACAAGAAAATATTCTTCTTTAGAGATGGATAATTAAATATTTAAAGGTGAAATATCATGATGTCTCAGATTTTCTTTAAAATACCTTAGCAAAAATAATTAGATAAATCAAGTATGGTGAAATGTTAATAATTGTAAATTCAAGACAATGGGTATATAAGAGTGATACCCTGTCTTTTTTATGTATGTTTGAGTTTTTCAATTTTTCATAATTAAAAAGAAAACTAAGCAAATGAAAGAAGTTACTAATTTCTAGTGGAGGAGGAATTGTATAAGAAAGAAAATGGGTCATAATTTATTACTTATTTCAGCAGTAAATAACATATAGACAATAGTGTGGCCATCAAGTATTGATTTCAAAATTGAGAGGATGGCAGGAAGGAAATTTGTAGGAAGAGGAGGAAGAGAATACTGGTCCAAAGAGACATAAGTTTTCACCTGAAGTCAGTAAAAAATGGATAAACCAAGAAAAGGAGCATGAAACATATTATAATTCCAGGAAAAATAATTTAAATCGTTGAAAACATTTACCTCTGGGGAGCAGGATTGGAGGAAAAGGGGTCAAGCCAGGGATTACTATTTTGCATTACCTCAGAGAAAGGTTAGGAAACAGAAAGAAAGTCATCCATAATCTTACTTCCCAGAGACTTCCCTTTTTGTACTGTCTGCCTTTTAAAATTATGTACACTATTCTTTTTTTCCATTTATTTTTATTCGTTGGAGGCTAATTACTTTACAATATTGTAGTGGTTTTCACCATACATTGACATGAATCAGCCATGGATTTACATGTGTTCCCCATCCTGAACCCCCCTCCCACCTCCCTCCCCATCCCATGCCTCTGGGTCATCTCAGTGCATCAGCCCCGAGCACTTGTCTCATGCATCCAACCTGGACGGCGCTCTGTTTCACAATTGATAATATACATGTTTCGATGCTGTTCTCTCAGGTCATCCCACCCTCGCCTTCTCCCATAGAGTCCAAAAGTCTGTTCTATACATCTGTGTCTCTTTATGTACACTATTTTGATATTGGAGCTTCCCTGGTAGCTCAGCTGGTAAAGAATCCACCTGCAATGCAGGAGTCCCTGGTTCAATTCCTGGGTTGGGAAGATCCACTGGAGAAGGGATGGGCTGCCCACTCTAGTATTCTTGGACTTCCCTGGTGGCTCAGCTGGTAAAGAATTCTCTGGCAATGCAGGAGACCTGGGTTCAATCCCTGAGTTGGGAAGATCCTCTGGAGAAGGGAAAGGCTACCCACTCCAGTATTCTGGCCTGGAGAATTCCATGGACTGTATAGTCCATGGAGTCACAAAGAGTCGGACACAACTGAGCAACTTTCACTTTTCACATTTTGATATAAGTAAAATTAATTTCTAAATAATGTCAATGTTATTTTTTTTAAGTTAATTTCTTTTTTAAAACTTTTTATTTTTTATTGGGGTATAGCTGGTTAACAACATTGTGGTAGTTTCAAGTGAACAGAGAAGGGACTCAGCTATACATACACATGCATCCCTTCTCCCCCAAACTGCCCTCCTATCCAGGCTGCCACGTAACAATAATGTGAATATTATTATTTCAATGAAAGATTTCATGTTTCCAAAAGAATGTTTGATATGATTAACTCATGACCAAATAAGTTAATCTGTCCTAAAATTACACTAGTACTAGTAAAGGTTTTCTGAAGCTGGGTACCAGAAAAGATCAATTCATGGGTGGCGTAACTCAGCATTATAGTGACACTTAGCTGTGAGAAACTGAGCCCTCATCAGCTCCCATGAGAATGGTGAGACAGCCTTTCAGGCCTGCAGTTACTGTTTGTCACTTGATCCTTAAAAAGGACTTTCATATTTTATTAATTCTTCACTTGATATTCCTTTACTATAGTTTATATTTACTTTTATTTATACTCACTGAGATATTTTATAGCACATAAATAGTTTAGCTTTTATATCTTTTTTTTATCAAATATCTATTTTTATATTGGATTTTAAATACCACAACACTGGTATATCTGGTCTAACTACAATTTTATCAGATATCACATTTTGCTGAAAATAAATTTTAGTATATCCTAATACAGTTTGAGCCCTACCTCAATTCTGTTAAATTTGTGTTTTAGATCTAGCACATACAGAGGGGCAGCTTCAAAATGAAGAAATTTTGGTAAGTAAATATACTTTGAAAATATATACATTATCTTGAACCAGCACAATGTATTTAAATTTTAAAACTATCTCCATAGTCATAAAATTACTCAATACCCTCATAATATTGTAGGTTCTGTGTCTAGCCAACCAACAGAGGCAGTTATTCTCAGTAATATTATGATCTAAACATAGCTTTCATAAGTTAGTCTCTTTTCTGTCATAGACAGGATGACAGCCAAGATAAAACAGAATTCACTTGTTATTGTTTTGTTTGTTCATTTATTTTGAAGTATTTATTTGCTTTCCTTTCTCTCATTTGATTCTGTAGTCCTTATGGAATAGGACTCAAAACAGGTCGAGATGCCAAAATTGGATGTTAATTTAAGCATGAAGGGACAGGGAGATTCAGATAAGGGAACTGGACCATAGGATCAGCAACAAATAAGCCAAAGAGAGATGAGGTGAAAAGGGAACCAGCATTTTCTGACAGCATTCCACTGGGCTTTGCTTGTCAAGTGAAAAGAATGGCCGCTGACGGGGAAGCTGCTGCCTCATCACGAGTTCCTCTGTCCCTAGCTTGTCAGGCCCTGGTTTTAGACAAACACAAACAGTGAAACAACTGAGAATGTTTTTAAGGTGGTAGTGCTTATTAAGATTTTTCCAGATAAGGTTTAAAGAGTTACCCTGTCCATTAAGTTTCATTCTTCACAATTTACTGGCAGCTGCTACGAAATCAGTGTTTGAGAAGATTCTGTAGTTTTTGAATCCTATTAATTATCTTCTCTACCAGCCAGTTGTTGTGCCCAGTGACTGGGGAGGCCGTGCATGCGTGTTAAGTCACTTCAGTCACGTCCAACTCTGTGCAGCCCTATGGACTGTAGACGCTGCCAGGCTCCGCGGTCCATGGGGATTCTCCAGGCAAGAATACTGGAGTGGGTTGCTATGCCCTCCTCTAGGGGATCTTCCCGACCCAGGGATCGAACCTGTGTCTCTTAACGTCTACTTGCATGGCACTTGGGTTCTTTACAACTAGCACCAGCTAGGAAGCCCGAGGAGGCCAGTAGGGAACAGAAAAATGATTAATTAGATTGAATTTTATCTATTTTTCTCCATATTATTTAATTGATTATGGTTAGTAAGCCTCTGCTGAGGATTTTGACACAAAATTCTTTGTGTGCCAGGGAGGGTGGCAGTGTCATAGAACTTTTGGAGAGAGTGAGGGGGAGTGGAGCCTTCCCTGGGGGCTCAGTGGTTAAGAATGCACCTGCAATGCAGGAAAGGCAGATTCGATCCCTGGGTCAGAAAGATCCCCTGGAGAAGGAAATGGCAACCCACTGCAGTATTCTTGCCTGGGAAATCCCATGGACAGAGGAGCCTGGTGGGCTATAGTCCATGGGGGTCAAAAAAAGAGTTGGATATGACTTAGCAACTAAGCAACAATGAAGGGAAAATGGAAGGCAGTAAATCACCCATAGTTTTGGCACCCTGTCACAATAGCCCCTGCCATACTTATTTTCTTCTATTTGTCAACCAAATGTATGACATAGTTACAATAGTGTACATGAAAAACTTTGTACTTTTTTAAATTTAATGTTTTATCAAATGCTTTAAAATTATGATTTAAAAATTAAATGTATTCAGAGAGAGGTTAACTGATTTCCTTTTTTCCTCCCTCTGTCATTATAACTACTACTATAGGGGACATCTTATGCCTGTCCCTGCTATCATGGTGTTCACTTTTTTAGTTATTTTCTAAAATTAAATTTCAAGAAATGGAAATACTGGCTCCATGGGTATAGACATATTTATAGCTTCTTACATATATTGCCAAATTGCTTTTCAGAGAAAATATATAAATGTAAAAGTATAATAATGTTTTAGGGTAGTGTATTCTGAGGCATCATCCAACAAATGAAATCTTTTATCATGAAAAATACTTTAGAAAAATACTTAAAAGTTAATCAGAATTGTACAGTGCAGTTTTTAGCTCCACCTGCATTCTTCCTAAAATAAGGCTGCTGTTTGGCTGTTAAATATCAGAATAGCCATATTGTTATATGTGGCTGGCTTCTCTTCTGAACATTATATCTTATAAATCATTATATACTTAGACTATTTGTAGCAAACCCTTTCATCTGCTTACTGCTTGTTTAGCAGTTAACTAGAATTGCTATATCATCTGTATTTATTTTTTCCCTTACAGGCACGTGATGACCACGTTACTTACTTGAGATTCATTATTGTATCAGCCTTTGATCATTTTGCATCTGTGCATAGCGTTTCTGCAGAGGGAGTAGCAATCTCAAATCTTTCTTAGTAATTATAATATACCCATGAACTATTTTTTAACAGTATATTTATTTAAACATGAAGTTGTCATTATTAAAGGAATTTGTATCAATCTGTTTCAGTTTTATTTTTCCCTTCAGCATTTTGTAGGAATTTGGTTCATCAGACAGCAGTGATGGCCAACATGTAGGTCATAAGAAAGCTTTTGCAAAAAAAAAGTTTTTGTTTCAGTATACAACTTAACCAAGTACGTAACTATACATGAAAACAACTGGTAATACATTGTGACTCTGCAGCATCTAACATGGTACCCTTCAGATATCAGTGCATTAATTTTTAAATTTATTGATTGATGCAAATGGCTAAATGAAAAATATGGACACTAAACAACATACAAGTTCAAAGAAGAGAAAATATTTATGGGAACATTTCCTTGAGGTCATGGAATTTGAGTTGGGCCCTATAGGACAAATCATTTTATTTTTTTCTTTTAATTTTATTTTGTCTTGATTTGAAGACTTCAGAGAAGAGTTAGGAAACATAATCTTATTTCCCAGAGGCAACCATTATTGATATTATTTGATTTTTTTTTTTTTTTTACATTTTGAGGAGGTAAGAAACAAGATAGGACATTTTGTGGAGATATAAGACATCTCTGAATATATCTTTCTATACAACTTGAAATAAAAAATGTAAATAATATAGCCAAAAGTTAAAATGACAAAGCAATTCTAAAATGTTGAAAATAAATAGAAAGGCATGAACCTACATTTATTACAATTGATCAACTCACAGAAAAAAAATGGCATTACAATATAGTATTTTACCTGTGCAGTCTATGTTAGTTTCCTATAGCTTCTGTAATAAAGTACCACAAACTTGGTGGTTTAAAACAATAAAAATTTGTTCTCTCACTGTTCTGGAGACTAGAAGTCAGAAATAAAGGTATTGGCAGGGTTTGTTTCTACTGGAGTTTTTGAGGGAGAATATATTCTTTGCCTTTCTCTTAATTTCCAGTGTTGCTGGCAATCCTTGGCATTCCTTGACTTGTGGCACCATAGCTCCAGTTTCTGCCTCGTCATCATATGGCATTCTTTCTGTGTTTCTTTGTATCATCTTCCCTCAATACATATATTTTTCTTCTGTGTCTTCTCTTATAAGGACAACATCATATTGAACCACAGACCCTTACTCCAGTATTATCTTAAATAATTACATCTGCCATGACTGTTTCCAAGTCAGACTGCATTCACAAGTACCAGGGGGTTATAGACCTTTCAAAGCTCTTTTCTCAGATGTTCAACATCACTCATCATCAGAGAAATGCAAATCAAAACCACAATGAGATACCGTTACACGCCAGTCAGAATGGCTGCTATCCAAAAGTCCACAAGCAATAAATGCTGGAGAGGGTGTGGAGAAAAGGGAACCCTCTTTCACTGTGGTGGGATGATCTTAGAGAACAGCATTGAAACAAGTATACTATCAAGGGTGAAACAGATCACCAGCCTAGGTTGGATGGATGAGAGAAGTGCTCAGGGCTGGTGCATTGGGAAGACCCAGAGGGATGGGATGGAGAGGGAAGTGGGAGGGGGGATCGGGATGGGGAACACATGTAAATCCATGGCTGATTCATGTCAATGTCTGGCAGAAACCACTACAATATTGTAAAGTAATTAACCTCTAACTAATAAAAATAAAGGGAAAAAAAAAAAGCTCTTTTCTCTCTCCCGCAATGACCTGCAGTGATGTTTTTCTACACAGTAACTACTTCATCATTCTGGGTCTGGGAGTGAGACTGATGATAACAGATAGTAGAGCTCTCAGTCAATCCGAGGTAGACATATAGAAGGAGAAATAAAGCTTCATTTAGTTTGAGGATGGAGTGGGGTTGCTGTGTCACGCCACTTGCAGAATTTTAGTTCCCTGACCGGGGACCAAACCTGGGCACCCTTCAGTGGAAGGCCAGAGTCCTAACCTACTAGACTGTAGGGAGTTCACAAATCAGTGTTATTTTGGAGTTGCTTTTTACCCCAGCATAACCTGGCCTATCCTGACTGATATACAAACAAATGTAGAATATAGCTCATCCTAGAGGACAAGTGACCTGGTTTCTTATACAAAAATGCAAAAAATGTTAAATTAAGGAAGGGGGTTCACTCTAGATTCAATGAGATAGAAGAGGCCCCCAAAATACATGCCTTGTGTAAATCTTATTTGGATGCTAATATGGGCAAACTAATTGAAAAAAAAAAAAGACATTTTAAAGATAATTGGGAAAATCTGCTTATGGATTGGGTAGTATTCATTTGCTTTTGCATGGATTAGGTATGATCCTGGCTTTAAGATTATGTAAGAAAAGGCCCATATTTTTCAGAGAGACATTTAGTAGATTCAGAGATACAAGTATGTAGGTTTATTGCATGGTATCTGGGCTTTGCTTTAAAATAATTGAGAGAAATGCAAATCAAAACCACAATGAGATACTGTTACACGCCAGTCAGAATGGCTGCTATCCAAAAGTCTACAAGCAATAAATGCTGGAGAGGGTGTGGAGAAAAGGGAACCCTCTTACACTGTTGGTGGGAATGCAAACTAGTACAGCCACTATGGAGAACAGTGTGGAGATTCCTTAAAAAACTAGAAATAGAACTGCCATATGACCCAGCAGTCCCACTGCTGGGCATACACTCTGAGGAAACCAGAATTGAAAGAGACACGTGTACCTCAATGATCATCACAGCACTGTTTATAATAGCCAAGACATGGAAGCAATCAAGATGTCCATCTGCAGACGAATGGATAAGAAAGCTGTGGTACATATACACAATGGAGTATTACTCAGCCATTAAAAAGAATGCATTTGAATCAGTTCTAATGAGGTGGATGAAACTGGAGCCTATTATACAGAGTGAAGTAAGCCAAAAAGAAAAACACCAATACAGTATACTAACGCATATATATGGAATTTAGAAAGATGGTAACGATAACCCTGTATGTGAGACAGCAAGAGAGACACAGATGTATTGAACAGTCTTTTGGACTCTGTGGGAGAGGGCGAGGGCGGGATGGTTTGGAAGAATGGCATTGAAACATTTAAATTATCATATGTGAAACGAATCGCCAGTCCAGGTTCGATGCATGATACAGGATACTCGGGGCTGGTGCACTGGGATGACCCAGAGGGATGGGATGGGGAGGGAGGTGGGAGGGGGGTTCAGGATGGGGGACACATGTACACCCATGGCGGATTCAAGTCAATGTATGGCAAAACCAATACAATGTTGTAAAGTAAAATAAATAATTAATTTTAAAAAATAAAATAATTGAGTATATTTTTTAATAGGAGAAAAGTTTAGTTGAAGCAAATGGAGCAGTAAATTGCTGGATCTGGGTTATGGATATACAAGGCTTTGTTGTACTAGTCTCTCTAATGTATGCTTGGAATTCTTCATAATAAACAATAATAAATAATGCCACAGAGGATATCTTTGTGCAAAAATCTTTGCCTACCCCTCAGATGATTTTTTTTTAGAAGAAGTTCCCAGAAGGGAACTAGTCAAAGTTAAGAATAGTTCTAAAGGGGCTTCCCTGGTGGCTCAGTGGTAAAGTATCCACCTGCAATGCAGGAGACTTGGGTTCGATCCCTGGGTTGGGAAGATCCCCTTGAGAAGGGAGTGGTAACCCACTCCAATATTCTTGCCTGGAGAATCCCATGGACAGAAGAGCCTGCGGGCTACAGTCCTTAATGTTGCAATGAGTCGGGCGTGAACTGAACAACTAAGAATGCACATACGCACTGGTGGTTCAGTGGTGAAGAATCCACCTTGCAATGCAAGGGATACCAGTTCAATCCCTGGTCCAGGAAGATCCCACATGCTGCAGCAACTAAGCCCACTCCCCACAACTACTGAAGCCTCTTTCACCTAGAGCCTGTGCTCCATGACAAAAGAAACCACTGCAACGAGACCACCCACCACAACGAAGAGCAGCCCCTGCTTGTTACAACTAGAGAAAGCTCACACGTAGCAAAAAAATCCACTACAGAGAAAAAAAAATAAATGAATAAATCTTTTTTTTTAAGAAAAGTTTTAAGGCTTTTTATATTTTCTGATAATTTGCTCACCAAGATTTGTTGCACAAATTTACTCTTGGAAAGGTTACTTTTAGATAAATGGAGGAAGGTAGAAAAGGTACTTCAATAGTGACATTGGTGCCATCAGAGATATGGTGTATTTAGGGAGTGATGAATATATATATATGACTGGGGCAAAGAAGGCTGAAATGGTACATTACAGCCAGATCACAGAGAGCCTTTAATGCTTTCAGATATTTTCCCAATAGTCCTGGAGCTATTTAAGGTTTTGGAAAAGGGAGGTGACCTAGAACCATGTTCAATAAAATGAAACACTTGAGGATTTTCTTTTTCCCCAACTTCCTTAACTGGAATGTCAATAATTCTTCACTTAAGGAACACTGCGTTAAGGCTTATAGATCACTGGAAGGCATTTCTAGAAGTTATCTGAATGATCTCTTTGGCACAGGCCTACTAAATTATCTTTAAGTCTTTTTTTCTGTGTTTCTCTCCTGTGAATGCAGAGAACGAGTTCTCAGTGTAGTGCTTGCAATACCACTTCATGGTATTTGAAAACCGCATCCTTTAACCTTTATTTTCCTAGGCTTCAAAAACTCATTTTCACTTGAGAAAACCACTCTCTTAAGTCTCAAGCAGTGGATAGACCAATATGTGGCTTTATCTTTTTTGTTTTTCACTGTTGAACCCCATTATAGGAAAGGGGCAGTTGGCCAAGATGGCAGTGTTCAGGCTCTCTCACCCCATGTCCTCTTGCTCTCTCCCCACCTTTTGTAAATAATGACTTTACATGGTTATGTAACAGCTGAGATCATTTATAGCACTGTACACGTGCATATAAGAACCACCTGAAAAGCTGTTGAGTTGCGTTGCAGTGCGTTAGCCACAAGAGAATAAAGCACGTCTGCCTTGCTGCAAATGAAGCATGTCTGCAG